GACAGTCCCTATCCTGTGGCAGCCCACGTATCCAGAGACGTTTACTAAACTACGCGTTTCTTAACTAAGACTCGCCCGTATAGAGGAGACTAATCGCCACCCATGCTTGGACGCCTGCTTTGGCACAACAGCATCAGCAGCATGACCTCTTATAAATACTTGTCTTTAAGACCCACGCACCAACCCTACGTCAGACAGTAGGAATAGCTCAAACTAACGTACTAGGCTAAATCATCTCAAGTCAGTTCAGACAAGTGCCTCAAGTGCCAGTAGGACCACACAGATGCCTAAATAAAGCTCCAGTTTCTAACCAATGTTATAACGTACGGCCACGTAAAAAAAAGTGAAGGAAAGTTCAATAAGCCTTAATGACAAAGATACTCAATAAAATAGTATGCGTCTGAGTGTACATAAAACCATGGATCTTTGTCAATAAAGAGTGGAGAAATGAATGATCACACAAATCAATAACAAGAATGATACCTAATTCGATTGGTGTAGCTTTGCCATTGCTCCAAAAAAATGTTACAAAATCTTTAAAACACGGATGATTCTGACCATCTGACATATTATTTCATTAATTATTCATCATTACAACAAACACTAACTGTTAATTACTATCGATTTTATTTCAAACTTCACACCTAAATTCAATTTTAAACGTCATGCCTAATAGTATTACCTACCGTTCGCTAGATCGTGACCACTTACTGCAAGTCATAAAACGGCTTTCACTGTATATGATGTAATGCACGGCTGCTGTAAAAAGATCATCGGTGGATTACCACATATTTAATTTATCACTTGATCTTCGCTCGGTCAGCGATCCACGACTAATACGTCAATGGCTGAAGCAGTACAAATTTAATAAATACAACTGTACAACAAAACAATATCCTTGCTGTGTTTTCTCTCTCACTCCTTATCTTTTTAAATTTCCTTCCCCTATTATCTAATAACTGACAGAATACAAAATTAATTATGCTGGCGACTAGCTCATCTTGCCTGCTGTGTATGATCACCCACGTCCACTCTCCTACCGGCTTCCACCACAACTCACAGTCCCCTCATCACTTTTTTATCTTAATAGTCGACTCCATACCTCCAAGAATAACTTAAGCCTTCCCTAACTCTCTAATTTATAATGAAAGAAAATATGATACCTAACCTCTTGAAAGTTCGACACTGTCTCCAGCAGCCGAGCCACTTAACTCGAGCTGCTACCGCAGGGCAAAGTATAAATAAACCCTCGAGGACACAGGCTTGTCACTCAACTCAACATTTTGCAACGAGTCCAGCGCTTTACTCGTGAGCTCCACTCTTTAAATCAGCGTTTGTATTTAGATTTTATTTTAATAAATTAATGATTGTGTGTGTATATAAAACTTTCATCTTTGTATTATTTAACTTTAAATTAAATTATATGAATAGCAGTATGTGAGATAGCGACGAGGTTAGTGCAGTCTCTTAGTTTTTCCTCACCACTGTTTACTTTTTCGTATCGCTGAGGTAATGAGCTAATCTCCAGGACTGTGCGAACTGAGGTGATCCTCTTGGTAAGGAGTTAGCGAGCCAGCGGATCTTCAGGGCTATACTAACTGAAAATGCACGATTTTCAATTTTTAATAAATTTCTGGTTCTCAGATCGATATTTATAGTTTTTTTAGTACTCGTCACGAAGTTGGTACCATGAGTTACAGTATCTTTATCTAAATGGGGTGCTTAGTACCCTTAAAATCCTGCTGCTACAAAGTATATTGACCACAATGACAATGGCCCAGAAAATAGGATGTGTGAAATGATTTGCTGGTATAGCTCTACGCAGTAATGAAGCCAGCGAAGGCACGCTGTTTTGCAAGGTAGCGCTAGGATGTAATGATGATGCCGTAGTGTGTCTGACAACAAGTTGATGTTATCCTCGTCAAAGTCAGAAAGCTTTTATACTTAGGCGTAGGAAGATATGAGTATTATTACCCCCAGGACGTCTGACTGACCTGCGATTAGGACATGGTTCCCAGCGTTCAGGCTTTCAACACTTTTATCACTTATCACAACTCTCTTTTTTCATGTAATCCTGGAATCTCTCGTAGATCAAACGACCATAAATTTTCTGGAGATCTAAATAAGTTCTGCTATATTTGTGCAGATTATGTTGAAAATGCTACGGATAAGAATATAACAGATCGAATTAAGCATTTATACGAGAAAAGTTTTGATATTAAAATTCTGCAGCTAAACGAAAAATGAATCCCTAGTGTCACTTGTGGCTCATAATATAATATGATTACCCATTTGGAAAAACACCAAAACAAAGATAGACTGAAGTTTTTGACTCCAACACTATGGAACAAACCGTTAAGTATCGGTCATTGTTACTTCTGTGAAAAAATTGTAGAAGGTCTGAAAAAATACAGAAGAATAAAATTGTATATGCTTCATTTAAAAGTGTCTAAAAACCTAAAGAAATATTAACTTAAGGTTCACAAGTTTTAGAGATCCAAAATAGTTTAACAAGCAGATTAGATGGCATGAAAGAGAATGTTTCTTCAGAAAATGAAACTGAAATAGATTTTGAAAAAAAAAAAGATTTATGACAATACTACCGATTTGTGTGGTAAAATAAATGAGGAAAGTGATACTAGTAGCTTCATTATTTGCATCATAATTGAATGCTATAAATATGCTGACGAAAGGTACAAATGTTTTAGTGTATCAAAATCGAAAAGAAAGCTTCCAAAAATACAGCACAAAAGAGAAAAATTTATAGTACTGTATAGATGTTAAGGAATTTATTAATGAATTTAAATAGAAATTTTACAAAACCAATTAATAAAGTTTATTTGTTGACTCATTAAAGCGGAGTCTAAAAACCAACCTCTCCATAATACGAAAAAGTATGCTCCTTTGGCGTTAGCTCATCCCACTATGCTGAAAGAATATTATTCTAACTAAAAAATGGTTTTAAGGAAAATTAAATTTGAAGAACATAAGTAGCAAGTTTGTAAGGACCTCAACATTTTATCTAGGTTATTAGGTCAGCAGCCTGGGTTTACTAAGCAACCATGTTATGTATGCATGTTTGATGTTCGGGACAGAAAAATTCACTATAAATAAAAAAATAGGCTTCAAGGACATCTTTCAAGCCTGGAAAACAAAATGTAGTTAATACAGCTCTCGTTGAACCACATAAGATTTTGATTTCTCTTCTACAAATCAAATGTTGATTGATGAAACAATTTGTCTCAGCTTTAAATAATGATAACAAATGCTTTAAATATTTGGGTCAAGTATTCAGTCATACAAATAATGCTTAATTATAGAAAGGTATATTTGACGGATCTAAAATAAGAAGTTTGTTTAAAGACTTTGACTTTGTGAAAAAAATGAATAATGTAAAGAAGGAAGCTTGGTTGAGATTTAAAGATGCGTCAACGAAATTTTGAGATAACACAAAAATTCCAGAATTCAAAAGTACAGTAGCGAAATTATAAAAAACTGCGATAATTTAGGATGTCTAATGAATTTAAGCTTTATTTCATGGATTCACACCTTAATGAATTTCCAGAAAATTTTCGTAAGGAGCAAGGAGAAAAATTCTACCAGGATTCAAAAGAATTTGAAAGATGCATTGACGGGCAGTGAAGAGTGATTATGTTTGCAGATTATTGCTGGAAGCTAAAACTGTAAACTACAAGGAGGGTAAAAGAAGACGAAGGAGCCAATTGCACCAATTATTCGATGACAAACATAAGCACAAAAAATAAAAACATTTAGTTGGTTGGATAGCTAACTTTCAGGTTTTTTAAATAATGTCAGAATCAAATTGAAAAACTTCAAAAATTTATAGCAGACTAATATTCAACATCAACAACTACAAAAAAAACTTAAATGAGACCCTCAACACAGAAAAGCATTAGCTTCTTTGGAACATCATTAGCAATAGTAAAATATGCTCTGGTTTTTCCAAATTTGCCCAGAGGATAGGGGTTAACGGTACAGTTATTGACACCTTAAGGTAGTGATTGACCCCTGTATAATTTGAATATCTATATATAAAGGCTCCATTTAAAAATGCATGTGGCTGTCAATCACTATCAGGGGGTCAACAACTGTACCCATTACCCCTACGTGAGAAGCTCATTTTTTTTGCAGAATTGTATTTAGCAAAAAACAATACATCATGAAAATTTAGTCGCACCCTAAAAAACCGTCTATAAAAGACCTTTGCAGGTCACATAGCGAAAATAAGGAATTTTTAGGTTTTTTCGATTGTTTTCGAAAACGCAGGTCAACAAAAAACAAAGATGTAACTAATTATCCAAATATACTTTTCCAACGTATGTATTTTTATAAAACATGGATTTACAAAAAAACAAGGGTTTTCCAGTTTTCTCTTGAGAAAACTGCACTTTTTACTGCAGATTTGTTATCAGTGAGAAAAATATCATAAAAAAGTATACTTGGAGCATCTGCACACACCACGTATTCCTTTTTTTTTTTTTTCGAAAAAACTCGACAACTTTTTGTTAAGAATAAGTAATTCACCGGTTTCTTCAAGTTTTCTTAAAAATTAACTAGGAAACGTATATTTTTTTAAACAGATTCGTGTTTAGAATAAAAAAGTACGATGGACAAGACTAGTCAGACCACCAGCACACACCATTTTTTTGTGGACCTGTGAATTGTATAAAAATAACATTAGCAGTAAAAATAATAGTGATAACGACGTCAATAACGACAAAGACGACAAAAACGACGAAGACGAGAATTCAAAGAAAGTATTCAAAATTCGAATCACTTTTAAGACGTCATGATCGTATTACATTTTTCATAAAATTAATTTTAAGATGCATAGTTAATTCTCCTTGCTCTTCATTGAAATCTCTAAGATTTTCTGGAAAAGAGTCCAGGTGAATGTCAAGGAAAACTAGTTTGAGATTTATGAGACATCCTAATTTTCGGAAACTCTTTATCGTGTTCTTTTCAATTTTTTGATATTGTTAACTCTTAATGGTTCCAAGGAAATTTTCCACGACATCTTTGAAACCAAGATATGCTGCTTTTTTAGTAGCAGTCATAATAGTAGCAAAAATTTTATCTCTCAATAAAGTACTGGTCTGTGGTCTATTAAATATACCTTGTTGGTCTTGAGCATCCGACAACTTAGGGAAAGCACGCTTGATATATCCAAAGAACTGACATTCCTTGTCTAGAGCCTTAACAAACTGTTTTATCAATTCTAATTTAATATGTAAAGGAGGCAGAAGAATGTAACACGGCTCAGCTAATGGCTGCTTTGTGGCATTCTTTGAACTAGGCTGTAGAGATATTCTAGGTGTCCATTCCTTCTTAACGTAATAGTTTTATTAATCTCAACTATAATATTGACAGAAGACACATAGATCTTGATAAATCCTGACTGCTGACCCAGAATTAGTGATAAAATTTTCAAATCCTTGCAAATCAACTATTTGTGCTCTTCATAACTAGGTTTTCTCAATACTATTGTTATGTTTGTATATTCTTCTTTCAATACAGTAGAGTGAGCAACTGGAATTTGAACGCATTTATTGGAATTGTACAATAAGACACCCTTGAAACTTCTTGTAGAGAAGTCTATGAACACCCGCTACTCATCAAATTTAAAAGCAACTGGTTTTAGTTTATTAATTAACCCTACTTTATCGCGACAATAAACTAGATTAAAGTCTTGAGTAAAGAAACTCCTGTACTCTTCATCTCTCTAACGATAAAATGTCACTTTGGTTGTTTGGGTCAACATATATCTTAATTTCAAATCTGAAGCCAGTAACTCAGCTGACTTTTTGGATAAACCCAAGTGCCTTATTGATTTATTGAGTTTTTCTTGAGAATACTTTACATTTTTCTCAGATTTTTGGTCGTGTGGAATGAAGTCGTCTTCAGAATTTTCTTCTTCCTTTTTTCTTTTTCTTTTTCTTCGCTTCATTCATCGTTGTCTATTTCATCTTGCATTTCATCATAAGAATTCGTGCTCTTTTTGGAATTTTCTGTAGCATTCAATCCTTGTAAGTTAGTGACAAGCTTCTCACTTGTGAAACCATCACTATTTCTCTCTGATGCAAAAATAGTTCTCATAATAGTTGAATCGTCGGGATAATCGATTCAGTCATTTCTTATTATGCTTAATGGCAAAAAATCAGCCGTAAATCATTGAGGTCACAAATCAGGGCTTGCATTCTATAAACGGCGCAGATCAGAACTTGACTCTCATCCTCGGAGTCTCTGCGTACGGAGAGCGTGCTGGAGAGTATGTCACTGACAGTGTAAGACTATTACCCCACTGCCCAAATTTCTCATGGTTGTTTTCCCTGGTTCATGGTTGAGATTTGGCTAAAGCTGGTTGTGATTTGGCCAGACGTCCCACAGTATCACGCTGGAGATAATGGCGTTTAGAACGCCTTTTTTCGTAGCTGCTGGTCTTCTTGGCGATCCAGGGTCGAAATCGGCGGAGGTCGTTTGCCCATTAGAAACTATCAACTATTTTTCAACATTTCTTGCAACCATACATATATGAAGAAGCAGTTGGAATATGTAATGTATTTATGCAATGAGAACAGCGTGGCGCTGTAGCACAGTTGACTGTTGATTTGATTGACACGCAGAGTACAAAGATTTAAAATCTCTAACGATGTACAAAATCTTCTTCATAGAATAATAAATATTCTTGTTTCTTAATCATTAGTAGATGATACTACGTAGTTCATATAAAACATGAAAAAATTATCAACAACAGGCGTAAAAATTTAAAAGTGAAATTAGACTCAAGAAGCTCTAAAATCAAAACGTATCAAGTAGAAACTTTCAAGATGAAATATCGAAAAAATATACGTAACCGTGTGACGCGTTACCAAATGCCACACAATTTTAAGCAGTTGAAAAATTTACGCATTCCAAATACAAGTGCAAATGTTTGTGAGAATTAAATAGAAGAGACTTTTTAACGTCCAAGCCTTGTACAAAGAGAAAGAGATAATTATAGTAGCTGTTTGTACATCACTAAATACTTCTGTTTACAAAACAATTAAATTTATCGACAAATAACTATTAATGTATACTGGCGAGGGTTCTGCAATACTAAAAATACTACAATAAGATTTCTATAATGGTACGCAGAGATTTTAATAATAACTATTCTTCCGAAACTGCTGTACCGTTAATTCAACTTTTGAAGGAGAAATTCAACATTAATATGAGGAGTAACCCATTGCGATTGATCACTAAATATAATAAAACCATCGATGCCGCCTAAGCTCGTTATTAAGAAAAAGTCGAATCGTTGATTTCTATTTTACATTTTTTGTACCAAAAGCCAATAGTTACTACTGTTCAAAGCCAAAAGGAGTTTTTACTATCAATAACAGATTGTCATGATAAATGAGTATCCATAAATTTCATATTTTTTAAGTAAAATAATGTTTTAATAAGCAATTACCAAAAAAACTATATTATTTAAAAAACGAGTTTCTTGTTAAAAAATCTGGATAAAGCTTCGCTTTTTCCATGGGTCCTGTGACCCATACGTTGTCTTTCGTAATTTTAAAATTGGTTGAGTAAGTTTTACGGTCAGCAGCTGCAACGTTCTGTATAACTTTGATTTATATATTAGTGAGATATGATAATGTAGAATATACTGGTCATACATACATTTTTCGTTGACGAAAACGCATTATTTATTTAAATAGACAAATAATCGAAAAAAAATTAAAAATTAAATGAAGTTACGATGAATATGAATGACTGTGACAACATTTTTTTGTAATTATTTCATTAAAAATTACAAAAAGACAATATAATGAAATAGAAATGTTGGAAAATTTATACATAAAAGTATTGTCTAAATTATAATTTGGATAGCAACAACTTTTGGTTCATGAAGTTTGAAATTCAATTCAGGTAGGCAGTATCCCAGAAATTAAGATTCTATATACGAATTAAACATACCACACTGGTGCGGTACTTGATAAGGTGGTTCGGACAGAGAGATATAGGAGGATAATAAGTACAATGGTGATTAATCAAAAGAGACGTACATCATAGTAAAATACAATGAACAAACGCAAACCCCAAATTGAAAAAGATAAATATCAATGAGTCGTCGCGCAAGCTTGATGCTAAATAACGTTACTTGAGGTCCCTTAAGTAAATCAGAAGACGACTTTATAACTCGGGCCGATGTTCCTAGAACTATTCTTTGATGAAAATCCCGAGTTAATACGACGAAGCAACAAATCTATTTATGAATATAATACTCAAACCAAAGATAATAACAAAGAATTTCGCACAGTAGTCTGTTGTATGTAATGGATACGTATCCAAAATACAAATATAAATTGAACTTGTACGTAGCCTTGTGACACTGACGCAAGACAGCAAACTTTGTGCCTCCAAAGAATTTTTTAATCAAGTTTTAATACTTCGAACTCGAAAGAAGAGAGAAATGCAAAATAACATCGAACAAAAAAAAATAAAGTACCAACTTTATACAGATGTATATCCAGGAGTCCCCACAAATGACTCGCAGGTATGACGCACTCGGAGAGGGGACGACAAGGCACTGACGCGTATGGGACAAAGAACTTCTCGTCTTCACGGATACATACAAACGAAAATCACTAAAAACGAATGCACGAGAGCTAAATTGTAATCAGCAAACTGATAACGAATATCCAACCACCTTTTGTAATGATTCGAAGGAAAAATACGAGCGCTTTCCCACTCAGTTATCAACAGCTTACCGCTGATTTGCACAGAGGTAGTATATAAGCTGTAATGGGAGGCTTGGGTTAATCATAGGGGGAAAGCTGAAGTGGAGAAGCTGGAGGGAGAGCTCAGGCGGGGACTACTTGAGGCGGCGCGCTGCTGTACTGGCAAATGAGCATGAAGCTCTTCTGCGCATGTGCAACTTTGCAGTACTGTCTGGCATCACTGATCCCCAACCTCCACGCCTCTGAATTTTTGCGGCCCTTCCTCTCATATTTTCTCCCACCATGTGCGAATTGTGTATCCCTCTCCTTTGAACGCAACAAATGTTTCATTTTGTAATAAATTTTAAAATAAGAATATTTACATACATGGAGACTCCCAGAGTACTAGCCCCACTAGTAAACAAGCTGTATTCCGAGGAACAGCAAGCTGAACGGCATCATTTTTGTCAGTATTTTTAGTGGTGCCTTTACTATGACAATAAATCATTACATCGGACATGTAGGATGAAAATGATATAATTAGTTCAAATATATGTGTATATATATAT